CCCCAAAACCCCAAAACCCCAAAACCCCGAAATTAGAGGTGGTGGTTATAATAGTTTTTAAGTAATTTAATGGATCTTTTTGAGAGAGGAGGAGTGAAGTGGCTGACACAAGAGAAGAAGGATGTATTTTTTGAGTATTTGGAGACAATGGGATGCTTAGAGGAAGCAGAAGGGCTGGGAGAAAATTATTGGAAAGAGTAAGAGATAATTGTGTTAAAAATTGGGGATACGGGCCTAGAAATAAATTTTGAGGGTTCAGAAATGAATTTTGAACCATTCGGTGTGTTTACAATGATATAGAGTGTATATGAAAGCAGCAGATTTATGGGATGCGTAAGAAAATAGTCTCCAAATTTAGATATAACAAGGATAAGATCAATGAAGGAGTGAGCGGAAGAGAATTATCAACAGAAGTAAAAGATAGATACAAGCTTACTGAATACAAAGATTTCTTCAAAATATACTTAACGTTCCATTCAAAGTATGGTAGATATTGTAAACTCTAGATTTACTGAAAATATACAACCTAGAGGAGTAATGAAAGGAAGAAACAATACCAAACTTAACCCAGAGGTTAAGAAGGAAATGTAATTTTTCTTCTATCATTTTCAGTGCTAAAGTTTCACTGTGTAAAATCTAATGATTGCTTTAGGAAATTCTTAGAAGAGCCTGAATATGATTACCTATTGGCTTATAGTCAATTAGAATTCCACAAAGATCTTGAGCCTCGCTGGAATGTCATTGTTTCAGGTAAGCTACTCCATGATCAAATATAGATCGCTTTTGGGAAGATATTTTACAGAATGATCTCTACCACGAGTTTATGATGTTTTACTACAAAAGTCTTATTCACGGTCATTTCCAGATAGAAGAGTCTATCTGCAACAGATTTGGCCACATGGAATTTGTCTTCATGTTTAATGGAAGGAGAGTATATGCCGAAGTATTTGCAGACAGGATTCCACTCTACACTGAAGAGTTATCAGTAAGTGGAGCATCTTATGTCTAGGAACCATTTTTATACAAATACAGGCAATATTTAAAGATAAATGAGGTAAGCTATCAAGTTCTTCAAATTTAACTATTTTATAGATCTTAGCAGTCTCCTTAGAGTAAGTGCATGCCCTGTCTTCTAGCCTAACCCTGTTTGAACAAGTTTGATTGGCTAATTTTCATGAAAATTTGGGTTGTTCCAAATGGAAGGTTTTGTCCAATTAAAAGGCCCTAACATATTTTAGGGAAAAGCATAAGGATGGACAAGAAGAACGTACCAGATTACAGCAGCATAAGAACAAAGGAATACCTTTCACAGATGAAAAGATAGATAGATACATCAAACACCAGAAATTGAAGGGACAGGATAGATACATATTCAATCTTAATGAAGGAGAAGGCAGCGAATGATATAACCCTACCGAATCCGATCTTGAGTACATGAGTAAGTAAAATCATTCGTCAATCTTTCCAAGGTTCCCTTCTCATATCTTACTAGAGAATGGAAATACAGTCTATGTTCCAATGATGATCTACGGGTGAATTCAAAGCAGGATCCAAGAATCAATGCTGCACATTAGCAATGATTGTAAAGATATCATTAGTGATTCAGATTCACATAAAAAAATTATTAAGTTCTTTGAAGGTTTGGAGAAATATGGCATTACATTTTCACAAAATCAGAGAAACTTGTTAGTAACGAGCACTAATAGCCTTGTTCTTGGTAGGTCAGGTACAGGGAAGACTACCATCTCAGCATTCAAGATCTTAGCGTTAGATCTTCTCTTCATTGCTTACAAGAAGAAGTTCTTCTATAAAGAAGATGTTCAAAGACTCGAATCATGTGATTTTGACAATTACACAGGCTGTTACACTGTATTCTGCACTGCCTCCCCTGTGCTTACCAATGAAGTCAAGAGATTTTACAATGATCTTCTCCAGTCTATCAAAAATGTCCTTAAGATAAAAGAAGAAAAAGCTAAACACAGAAAGGAAGAAACCAAAGAAGAGTAAGTCAATATCCTTCAACCCCTAGACCTAACCAGCCCCAAGAAAACATGTTCGACCCCTTCGAAGGAAACATTGAAACCCAAGAAGAAACCAAGGACCTAAAGGACGCCTTCCTCTCTTCCCTAGAAAAGGCCAAGGAGGACCTAATCGAAGACATTAACATTGAAAAACAACTTTTCCACTATAACAAACTTGACCACATCCCCAAAAATGAATTCCCTCTGTTCCTCACAGTCAAGAAGCTGGTCTACATGCTTGATGGGAACTGCTCCTACTCCTTCTTCGCAAGGGACCAGAAAGGAAAGATTATTGGTATGGACTCAACCAACGAGTGGCACAACGAAGACAAGGAAGGAGCCCTCATGATCAACAGGTACCAAAAAGACGCTTACGACTTCGATAAAAATATCAAGAATGTTGGCAAGAAAATTATCCAAGTGGAGGAAATGCAAGATCAAAAGACACTTGAATATCTCGAAAATAGTGGGATTGATGCAAAATTTAAGGAATTAGAAGATTTAGCAGACAATACTGTTGAAGAAAACTTCTATGAAGATTCTATGAGAATGGAAGATTACTTGAAAAACAATCATTTTTACTATCAAAGATCCATCATGAGCATCCGAAATCAGATGTACTCACAAGAAGTAGACTTCGAAATGTTTGAGAGAAAGTTTTGGAAGAAGAATTTATGAGGGATCAAACTCTCAGCCCTTAATGTATGGACAGAGATCTTCTCTGTAATCAAAGGAGGTGTTGAATGTGTTCATAATATCATCTCATGGGATTCATATTGAAAAATGAAATCTCCAATGGATGATTACATTGATGAAACTGAAAAATACCGAGTTTACCTGATGTATCTAAAGTATGAACAGTGGAAGGGAAAACATCATTATTATGACTTCATGGATGTTGTAAGACACGTCTTCAAGTATTACCCAAGTTGGAAGAGAAAGCATATTGATTATTTGGTGATCGATGAGGTTCAAGATTTAGCTCCTCTTACTATCCAGTTGCTCTTATTAGCAACTCAGCAAAATATCTTCTTTTTAGGTGATACTGCACAGACTATTGCAAAAGGAGTTGCTTTCAGATTCTATGACTTAAAGACTGTGTTTTCCAATTTAAAATATCTAAATTCCAATCACAATAATGATAAAGAAGAAATTCTTGAGCCTAAAGTTATACAGTTAACTAAGAACTACAGGTCCCATAATAGCATCCTCCAGCTAGCCAACTCAATTGTTGATATCATCGAGCTGTATTTCCCACACACCATTGACAAACTCCAGAGAGAAAGCAGCGACAAGGAGGGACCCAAGCCAATTATCCTCGAAGGCTTTGATCATGATGACCTTGAGAAACTAGTCATGTCCTCATCCTCAGGCACTCCAAACTTTGGGTGCAATCAAGTCGTCATTGTCAGGAACCAAGAAATGAAGAATAAGATTCCTTTCTTCATGAAGAAAGCTCTGTGTCTTACTGTTTATGAAGCCAAGGGACTCGAGTTTGATGATGTCATTCTCTATGATTTCTTTACTGAGTCTCAGTGTACAAGGCCTTGGAGAATCATTAATGACATCGAAGTTGAGAAAGGTAAGTAATCATGATAATAACCTTATGTAGTGACTCAACAGAAACTCAAGATTCAAGAACACTTGACTATTGAAGAGCTCGACTTCAAGAAATACAACAAACTAATCCACAGACTTAGAAATGAAGAATATAAAGAAAGCGACGAACTTGAGTACGAGGAAGTCTCAGTTCTCAACACAGTCAAAGACAGAGAAGACGTCGACAGAAACTTCGGAATTCTCAACAATGAACTGAAGTATTTGTATGTGTCAGTGACCAGACCAAAGACCAACCTGATCATCTATGACTCTGACCCAGGAAACAGAAAACCCATCTACGATTACTGGACATCGCTGGAACTTGTGGATGTGGTTACAAAAGAACAAGCTGCTGACCACCCAGTTCTATCCAAGGCTTTTGAAGTTTCAGAAGATGTTACTGAAACAAAAAGTCAGTGGAGAGCATTAGGAATCAAACTATTTAAGAAGAAGTACTACCAATCAGTCATTAAATGCTTTGAAGAGTCTGGTGATGAAGACCTCAAGTTTAGAACACTTGGATACATGAGTGCAGAAGAAGCTACCACTCTCCAAAGTGAAGGAGAGACCTTGCTCTATCAAGCTAAGCACGATACACTTCTTACAAAGCATGAAAAGAGAGTTAAAAAGGTGGAAGGCTCATCACTCAAAGAAAGATCATTAGAAAAATTTAAAGAAGCTGGTGAATACTTTGAAAAAATAGATTTATTCAGAAATGCAGCTCAATGCTTCTTTACTATTAAGGATTACAATAAAGCTGCTCATCTCTTTGAATTAGGTAAACAGTTTCAGCAAGCTGCTGAATGCAACAAAATGATTGGAAACTTCACAAAAGCAGCAAGAATGTTCGAAGAATGTGGAATTTTCAGTTTAGCTTTTGAAAACTTGTTATATTCAAATGACTATGAAGGACTATTAGAATGAATCCATAGAAACAAAGATAAATTCTACCCATCTGAGAGGATATCTCTAATATAAACAAATATGTTCCAATAGCTTTGAACTTGGTTTACCAAACAATTAATGAAGAAGGCATCGATGAAGAAAATCAAGGGAAAATATTACAACTCAAGTATAAAAAGTCTAGCATTGAAATCATTAAGGAGGTAAACTCAGAGTACTCAAGTGACTCTGGACTTGACTCTGATGAAGAAGAGTTAGATGATCATGAACAAGCAACACCAATTGGTATTATTGAATAATAAGTCTAGACAATCAAGAAAGTAATTCAAAGGAGAAAGAACAGGATATTGACAAGGAAGAAGAGGAGCTAAGCCAAGAGGAAGAACTTATTGATACTTCAAGCAACCAACCTCAACTTGCCAAGAAAAACTTGTCTTCAGGCTTGAATGAATCTAACTTGTCTTCATTCGATATGAGTATGGCAGCATTCTAACTTTTAGTTTCCAAAGGAGACTTTGCCCAAGATTTTGAACATCTATCCAACTTCGATCCAGATGATGACTTCTTGAACTCAGAGAAGTCATTCAGCATTATTGGGTCTGTGCTTTGCAAAGATGAAGAGAGTCTGTCAGAATACAGCGACTTCTCGATTGTGTCAGGGTCAAGGATCAGTGAAATCAGAGGAGCCAATGAGCTCCAGCAAGAAAGAGATTTTTGAACTGAAGACTTTGTCATCAAAAAGATAATTTACTATGTCTGAATGTTTGGTGATGAAATCAAAGAATTCCTAAGCAAAATTAGATCAAAAGAAGGCTTGATCAAACTTAGTCAGACCCAGAGTTTAGATGAGTTTTTAGAATTAGAGTTGGATAATATTGATACTGATATGGCTTCCACTATTCTCGATATTTTAGAGCATTTCGGAATGTTCAGACTCTGATTCATAATGTGAAACAGATATAACCTCAAAGAGCATATTTCAAGATATCTGACATCTACTTCCCATAAATACTCTAATTTAAGATTGATTGATATGAAACAAACTCTACAGATTAACGATTTGAAATTTAGGACAAAGCAAGTGCAAGTAAATGCTTTAGCTAATGAAGCTATCCACAATATGCTAAACTTAGTTGATTCATCAGTGATTAACCAGCAATGCACTGAAGATATAGACAAAGATACGAAACTCCTCGGAACTGACTGCTGGAGATACATTTACTATCTCGGCTTTTGGAAGAAACTCATCTACCTAATGGACACCCACAACTCCCTCAAATTGTGTTTCTCCATTGGAGCCTTCGAAGACTTCAAAACTGTCTACTTGGTGTTCTACAGGCCAGAACTCACCAATGATCAGATTAAAGCCATGGTTGGAGACCCTCTGGCAGACTGGGTCGGAGTCAACAAGACTGCTCTGGTCGAGTACTTGTGCAGGAAAGTGGCTCTGGAAGAAAGTATGGCCACTCTCAACAACTCCAGTCTCCATCCGAGTTGTGAGTGCAACATCAACCTGAACAACTGTCTGAGAGCGAGTAAAGAAGGCAACCAACATCTGAGCATCGAGTGTCTGTGCAAAGCTTTAGAAATAGCAGAGAAGAAACTAGCTCAGCTCTGCAACAAGAAGAGTGAAGAGATCTTTGATATTGAAGAACTTGATAGATTTAGCAAGAAGTATTATGACAACTCAAAATTCATGGAAATACTGCTGCCATTATTCGATGTATTCTTATTTTGTGGAAGATTCAGAATCATAAACTCCATTATTACTTCTGCTATTGATCAAGGATACAACATCAGAATAAAAATATTAAAAATGACTTTGTTTATAGCAGACTTTTTAGATGACCCAAGTCAATATCTAAAGGTATTTGGGCAAACAGGAACCAAAATAGCATTGCAAGGAATTTTGATACAACAAAAGATAAGAATTCCTGAACCTTCTGATTTACTGCTAAACAGCTGTAATAATGCTTGTCTACATAGAGAATCTGCACTGTTTAATCATTTGAGCAATTTTGTAGCTGATCTCCAGAAAGACAAGTACAACAGAGAATTTTATCGTAAAAGTAAAGACTACTTTAAAGTCATTCGTAAGTTCCTATAACCTAATGTAGGTCAAATTTGATATAAAATTCCTCAAAGTGCGTTCTATTATCCAATGAAGAACTTCGAGGCTTCCAATGTTGGCATCAACAATGAATATGATTCTATCAGAGTAGCAGATCTTGAGGCTGAATATATTTCATGCCCGATCTATTTCTTGGTTTCAATTTTCAAAAAGTCAATGCTTGATTCTCTATCTTATGGATTAATAAGAGAAAAACTAGAAGATATTCCGATTTATGAACAGAAAGGATTCTTAAATGTCAAAGATTGCGATGACATTATTCTTCCAGATGAGATCAGAAGGGATTATAGAGACTCCCTTGAGCTATATTCTACGCTCAAGACATTTTTCATGAAAGGAAGAAATAGGACAAATAGCTCACTTGATATTGAGAGAAAATATAGATCTCCATTCTTAAGAACACCTGTATGGATTGACCAGGCTTATCAAAGGATGGCAGGAGCAGCAAACAACTTGGCTAATTTAATTAATTCAAAGAGCTATCACTATTTTATTCGTTATGATCAAAGAAAAGGACAGAAAATAACAATGACCTCTAAAAATATTGACCCACCTAGTGTGTCAGTTTTGGAGGAAAAATTTCAAGACATATTCCAAGTTGTTAAACACAATTTGGAAACATTAACTCCGCTACAGAAGTAATTGTCTGACTAATCTCTAGAACAAATTTGACTGCTGCCCCAAATAAGATTCACTATCATAGCAAAAGTTTCTTGCTAGATCAGTAATTTTATATTTTAATAACATAGAGCTTGCATTCTTTTAGAGAAATTTATTAATCCTGAGAAAATTGAACTGAACTTTGCTGAAACATCAGAAATGTTGAGGTTCTCTACCTTAATCCAATGAGTGTTCGTCCTTAATAAGATTCAAAGACTCGACTTTGTTTCGAAGTACTACCAATTGGCAAGTAAGATTGCTTTCTCATTTTAGGCTTCAACAATGTATTCGACAAGGACTCAGAAGGAAAAGACCAAATCCATAGGATAAAGCATTTGGTAGATGCATTGGAGTATTACCAAGTTGGCAAATGGGACCAATCAGTCATCTCATATTCTAAGTTCCTAAACAAAAATTATCAGGTAAAAGTGTTTGTAAACTTTAGATCCTCAGAGGAGATATCTGGATTAGTCTCATTGAAACTGCTTGGTATCTTGCTGTCGTTACTTATTTTGGGGGAAATAAAGGAGGATTGTTGGATGGAAAGGTTTATCTTCCGTCAGATGCTTTCAATTATGTTCATGAAAATTGCGACTTGATTGTTGACCAAGAAGATCCAACTCAAAATTATAATCAAAGTAATTCATATTTCTCATTTTAGTTCTTGAATATGTCAGAAACATTGATATTGAGAAATCATCTTCAAGCTCAGATCAACTTTTTATCCAGCTGATAGCAAACTTCGTAAGCAAGTATGACATTTTCCTGCAAGAAGAACCCCAATATTTGCAAAGATGTCTTATTGGAATGTTCAACATGATTGGAACACTAATCACTAACTGTGAAAAGGTAACACAAGCGCTGTCAGATGCAATCGCTTCTTACTCAGAAATCATTACAACAAACGAAGTTATAAAAACTGAAAATATTGACAAGTTCTGAGACTATTTTGAAGACAGAGATAAGCTGATGCAATTCAAGAGCGATTTCTTCCAAATTGAAGACTATGACAAGAATGATACGCTTTACCATGATCCTGACAATCTTTCTCATAACCAGTTCTTGGTGATTCTCTCTATCGTACCATCTTCTGAAAATCCACAAGAATCAGTTGATCTGAAATGGGAGGAGTATACATTTCAAACTGCTTCATCATTGCTTGCCTTTAGAACTCTCCAGAAATCTTTGAAACTTAAGGTTAAAAACTATCTTTTGAAACTCAAAACTGAGAAAGCAAAATTTGGACAAAATAATATCAACATGAATGAGCATAATTGGATTAGTTTAAATGACTTTGGACCTCTGGATCATTTAATTCACCAGTGCTCAACCAGTAAAATTTTAAGAAATGCTATTGAAGAAGCTACTTCTGTACAGAATAAGCTGTACAATATTTTCTTAAACCATTACACAATTCAAACTTCTTCAGATACACACTTCATTGCATCAAAATTAAGTCAGATTGAAGAGGAAATGCTCAATGCTAGAATTGATTTAGCTAAACAGATCTATGAGCTAGACTCTCCCTCGGTACTGTTTCATCTAATTCCGTAGAACAATGAGTCAAATGATGAGTCGTTCAACCCTTTCATTGAAATAGGAGGCAACAATGAAGAAGTTAAATTTGTCTCTGCATCAGGAGACAACAGCAAAATCACCGACATCGTTAACACAATAGCCACTAAACTACTGGAAGAAAGCCAAGAGATTGATGAGTCCCTCTCAACATGGCTAACAGCCTTGCCTGAGCCCGAACTCCTCAGTATCAGCACCAAACAATCCAGCCTAAAGCACAAATTGAGATGGGAGAAAATGCTGAATTCAAAGCAAAAGTTACGCCAGCTTAGATCATATTTCAGAAATATCAGGGCCAAGAGATAATTACTAAAATTCAATCTCTCCAAATATTCTAGGGGTTTTGGGGTTTTGGGGTTTTGGGG